AAAAAAAAAAAAAAAAAAAAAAAACTTTCATAAATCATTTGATTTGGTATTTTCGGAGAACTTCATTAATTTAAAAGTGTAAAATAAATAAATAAAGAAAGTACTTGTATGGAAAATTAAACTAAATCTAATTTTGTAAGATGCATTAAATATTGATTAAATTTTATATGTAAAATAAAATAAAAAATAACTGGAATAGTTTTACGTGTTGCAATATTTTATATTTAAAAAAATTAAAAAAAAAAATCTTCTTTTGCGTATTGCATACCAACATTTTAGGAACTACATGGACATTCCTAAATTAATATTGCATACCCAATATTTTAGGAACTAATTAAATGCTAATTTAATTTGTATACCAAAAATATTAGATGCATTAATTAAATACTTGATAAAAATAGCAAATCATTAATTAGAGTTGACTATTCTACATACTACATTTAGTAAATAGTATAACTTTTAATATAAGTATAAATTTTAAAAGTGGCTTATCAGGGACGGATGGAGATGAGACCCAGGGGGGCCCATGGGCCCCCCTCATTTTTTTAAAAGCCAATATATACATATATATATAAATATATTCATATATATAAATATATATAGAAAATTATATAAAATATATTTAAAAATGCAAAAAACATTTATAATATATAAATAATTAAATTTCATTGTCTATGTTAATTTATATTAATAATATTAAAAAATGTACTAACAATCATTATTTTTACATTTCCAAATAAGTTTAAAAAATATTGATAGTGATTTACTCTTTCGTACTCTTAATTGTAAATCGATTTTGAGATTTATAAAACTATGTATTTAGTTGGATTGTTACGTTATAGAATGTCGAATTTGACCTTTTTTTTAATCACACATTTGTAACTTTATTTTTTTTTTTCTTAAAAATGTTCATTTGATAAACTCTTATCAACAAAAATGTTATGCAAAGAGCTGAAAAAATTCAATTTACATCAATTTTTCCACAAAAAAAAAAAAACTTACTTTTCCATAAATTATATTTGTTGAACTTAAATTATAAATACATGAAATCTTATTTTCTTTTTCTTAAAAAAAAAAGTTTGAGAGTGAGACGAATTCTAAGTTTTTGAAAACTTGATGACATCGATATTTATATTTATAGTAATTACATTTTATATGAAATGAGTTGTTTCGATTTAAACTACAAGTTCGTTATTTGACATTAAAAATTGGGCCCTCCTGACTAAAATTCTTAGATCTGTCACTTTGGCTTATGCTACTGTCTTTATATATTGATTGACCAAAACAAAATTGGTCAAAGACAACGGACAGGTCTAGGCCACAATAATAAATTATTATCTTTCTTATAACATCTTCAATTCAATATTTATAGGTAGAAATATATTCTTAACGGAAAATCACGCGCTTTGCCTTTTCTTCACAAACCCGTTTAATAGCGTTAGGTAGTTTCTCCTCGTCTCAAACAGCTGCTCGTTTTCTTGATCTGAAGAAGGTGACATGGGTTCTCAGGATTTGGGTCGGACTTTGTTTTTGTGCTTTTTCCTCAAGGATTTATGGATCATTTTTTTTTTTTTT